GTGTCCAAGTTTGAAAGTTGGTTCAAGTATTCTGAAGAGTCACGTAATACATTTTTGAGTAAATAAAAGTAAAAATAAGCACATTTCTTAGCTTAGTCATTGCTACTGTCATTTAACATTACACTACTTAAACTAACTCCTGGTTCTGAAAGAAATTGAATGCCTCAATTAATGCCAATGAATGGCTTCTTACTCATAGCGATCAAGGCAGGGAAGGAGAGTCCCAGTTTGGGGAAGGACCCAGCTCAGAGGTTTGCACCATCATGAGCCGAGTATGACTGAAGTGCGAATTGTTGGGGAATGACAGCGGGGACACAGGGACGCTGTGGGCATGTGATGATGACCTGGCCAGGGGCTCAGACAGAGGCTTCTCGGGCTGCAAAGAGAAACATGGTGAACAGACGGTAGGGCTGTTTAGGCATCTCTGGATCTAGGCACATGCCAATTAGGCAGAGGGACAATTAAGGAGACACTGTTGATCTGGCCGCCATCCTTCATGGGCTCACACTGGGCAGCGGCCGGGCGCCAGGCTGAGAGTCCCTTGCCAGGGCGCTAGGAGCGCTGAGAGTAGAAGGGCCCCTAGCAAGTCGCAGGGGAGGGGGTGGAAATTAGTGGTCTGGGGAGACAAAGAGAAAGATGCAAAGGAGGGATACTTTGAGATCCTCCGCTGAACTCTGAGGGCCTCACTGATTCATGATGGGGAAGGGTTAAACCTTCCACAGGAACCACACTGTATATGTGTATAGTTTGATAAATTATGCGTACATGACTGTGAAACTTTGTAGCTCATCCTTTAGCAAGGATTCCGTTTATTAAAAACTATTTTAGTGTCTTATAAAAACCTTAACATATATTCACAGAAATTATCAGAAAGGATACGCAAACACCGTGATGTTTATCTCTCGGTGGATTATTTTGCGTTTCTGGCTTATCTGTGTTTTCTAATTTTAGTTAAATGTGATTTATGTAATACATGTATTTGTAATTTGGTGTACTGTGGTGACAACTTGAGACAGTATTCTGTGCTTTGTTTTCATAGCTGGACTCCTAAAAAGGCCTGTGTTTTCAACCCTTTGCTCCATGGAGGAGAATTAAGCCAGATTGCGGCAGGGAAGGGCGGTAACAGAGGATGCAGCCTTCGTGAAGTGAAGGAAAAAGGTGGTTAAGATACGGAGAAGGGGAAAAAGTCCAGCAAGTGGTGACCCTCATAGAGAGGAGGGGCATAGAGCCCTCTCAAAATGCCCTGCAGAATGGCTTCACTGTGTGGGTCTGGAGATCAGCTGCCCCCGGAGATCACTGTGGCCAAGCCTCCTGTGGATCAGGAAGAGTGACAGGCTCATGATGGCAATGGAAGTCCTAGGAACAGAGGACCAGTTCTTGTTTCTGTCCTCTCTCCCGCGTGACACCTGATTTTGGACTTCTCATTAACTCTGAGTTAGCTTCTTGTGCTGAACTGAATTTGGTTTGGAAAATAAAGGAAGGTGTCATTTCCTTCACTCTTTATCTGATGCAAGAGAAATCATGAAAAATAATTAAAAAGGTAGAAGTAAATTAAAAACCTGATTTAAAATAACTCATGTAGTATTACTGGAGATAGATATCAATGAAGGTCACATTCTGAGTAGGTGGAATTATAAAGTAGATTTTCATCCAGAACGAGGCTGGAAGGAGGCCTGAATATGACCAGCTGGGCTGCACATCGCCCATACCTTCCGGATGCTGACTGCACATATTCATTTGTATGTTCATGTGTTAGTTATAAACCAATACCCTTACTTTATATAATCCTTCATCCTTCATATCATGTGAATGCTCATATAAAAATAGCAATTAATTAAATGAAAAGGTTTTTGTTATTGATAGCCAGATGATTAATTATACGAGATGTCTACTCTACTTGAGGAACAGTAACATTTGGCGCAGGTGCTGCGTGACATTGGAGAAGGGAGGTAGCATCTGAAGATAAACATTAGCAGAGAGTCTAATATGACTCTGAGATAATCTCTGCCATATTTTGATAGTCTGCACTGACGTCTCCTCAAGGATTCATGAAAGTAAAGAATTCAGCCCTGCGAAGTCACTGCAATATTGACTTACTCATCCTGTGCCTGGAAACACAGACAAGAGGTTTAACAGTACGTGTTTTATCAGGCTAGACCTCTTTTAAAATGAAAGAATGATCCCTTTTCTTGTTCAGACATGATGCCAGTGAACCCATTTGAAAAAAAAATTAGAGGAGCTGTATTGTTTCTTAACTCTATATTGCCTCATTTTTCCAGAACCAGCTTTCTTGTCTCCGTAAGAGACAATCCTTTGAGTAAGTGTGAAAGCTTGATGCCTCCTAACTCTAGCCATATGATTCCCTTTACATTTCACTGAACTGGTGAAATACGGTTTCTTCTTCCTAATTCCTTGTACAACAAGTATTTATTATATCCCTGAAAAAAATTCCAGATATCGAAAATTTACTCTGTGCATGTCATTGTTCTAAGTGTGACATGAATCATCTTGTCTACTTCTCACAGTAACGATATTGAGTATGGGAAGACGTCTTTGTCTCCGTTTTGAATATGATGCCTACTGAAATTAGGCAGCTTGCCAGAGGTTGAGTAGTTAGTGAAGTGGAACTTAGACTGGGACCCATTTCTGTCTTGCTTCAGAGGCCAAGTTTTAAGTACTACATCCTCCTTGGAGGGATCCAATCCCCACTCCCCACCCAGCCATCCCGAATCACCTCGTTCTATCTTTAATTCTTTGAATAGAACTTATAACTTTATAGCTTTGTTGTTGTTTTTCTCTATTGTTTAGTTAATCCTCTCCTCTCTCTCCTTTGCTAGAGTGTAAGCTTGAGAGCAGAGATCTGTTACCTACTTCAGCGCTATATAACAGCACCTAGAATAATGTCTGACATGGTGTAGGCACCCAGTACATGATAGTTGAACAAATGGAAACAATTGGCAAGGTGCTAGTTTTCTGCTTTCTTGTTGCTCCCAGGCTAAGGAAAAGACAGCCTTGTGTAGACAATTAAGGAACAACATGGAAAGTGCTGTAACAGAATTGGGAAGACTGCCAATGGGATCATGGAGGCTTCACTGATAAGCTGGTATTTGCTCTCGGTATTGTGGAGAAAAGAAAGGTATAAAGAGAGCAATGAGAAGTGGATAAAATCTCAGAAGCAAGAAGTCAGAATTTGTATAGAGAATGAGGAAGTCATCCAGTGTATCTCACTGTGAAGAGGCACATCTACCTGGCCTTGAGATTCCTCCTGCAGGGTCGCCAAGCACTCTGAACTGACCATTCACATTGCCTTTGTGACATTCTTTGTAATGGTTCATTTACCTCTCTGTCTCCCGCCAGGGATGTGAGATTTTTGATGCAAGGAACCAGGACAATCTGACAGTGAGCTCCTATCAGGCAGGGATTTTGTCTTATTTATCTTTGTATTCTCATAGCTTGGTATGGTGCTGCTAATTGGTGGCCCTCGGTACATGTATAATGCAAAATAAATGTATAATGAATGAATGGGTGAATGACATGGCTTAATAGCAGTTTATTTAAAAAGTTTTAAATTTAAGTTGAAAACAAGCAGCAAAAATAGTTAATGTGGTCTTGGGTAGCAACAATGAAAGGGTAGTGTCTGGTTTCTGAATATATAGAATCTTGGAACTATGGAGATAGAAATGATAAGGAAAATAAGACTGGTGGACCGGTGATGTGAAATGACTTGCTCATGGTTCCACAACAAATTTGTGATGGGAGTAGGAACTTGAATTTAGAGATCGTGGCTTTCAGTTAAATTTGATTTTTTACCAGTTCAACTATATTCTCTTCTGGTGAGACCACAACTGTGCAATTCTGAGCTCTACACTTAAAGAAATGTGTAGACAAAGTAGAATTTGTCCAAGGAAGGCTGATGCAGATGCTAGGGGAGAGTGGAAACTGTATCACGTGAAGATCAGGTGAGAACATTAAGGATGTTTCACCTGGAGAAGAAAGTACTTGCAAAAGGGCTGCCGGGTGAGTGGAAAAATCGTATGTGTTCTAATATTTTTAAATATATAAGTCATTATTCCTTTGCTCCAGAAAGGAAAAACAAGAGCCATGGGTAGAAATCACAGAGAAGTAAATTTCAACTCAATCTGAGACAAAGAATAATATCTCAAGATTAGAAGTAACCAAGAATGAAATTCCAAATTATAAGAAATATGCAAGTAGAGGTTGGATGATTATCTGTCAGGACTAGATTGTTGAGTTCCTTTAGAGTAAAGATCCCGTTTTACTTGTATTTCCCTAAGACTTTGAATGGTGCTTGGCACATAGTATATGCTCACTTCCGACTCACTATGTATCTTTTAAAAGGACTTCCTTTATGGGGTAGGTGAGCATGGAGGTGAATAGGAATGCATTGTATTACTAACCCATGGACTTTTCCAACACTTAGGTTTGTGATTCTTTGATAAAAAATCCTGCAAAATAGCATGCCAATATTTAGCAAAGCAAGTCATTTCATACTCTTTACAGGCAAAGGTTGGTGGAATTGCTGTTTCTTTTAAACTCTACTAAGCTCTATAGTGTTACGTTGTTGCTCTTCCTTTAGGTGGAAGGGTTGCCGTCGACTACGGTCTGACAAAGGAGATCTGCTAGTGTATCTCTGCACTTGTTAATCAAACTAAAGCTCCATGTGCAAGTTCAAATGGATTGTGTTTTGTACAAGTAGCATAAGACCGGTTTACGGAACCACTTGCGTGATGATTATGCCCATAGATTCACACTTTCCAGAGTGCCGACTAACCTAGAAAACCAAGTGTTTCAGCATCCTAAATCTTATTTCGATTGTCACCATTTTTGAATGTTTTTATAAATATCATAAATATCACTTCAGGAAACCTATTTTCACCGAATATTTTATATCCAGAATGTGTTGATTTGATATTTGTCTTTTTTTTTTTTTTTTTTAACACAGGAGTGTCGTTCCTTTTAGTCCATGTGGAGGTCATTTAAAGGAGGCAAAGAAACCTCTAGATTTACTATATTAGCCACGAAAAGCTGGGGAGAACTAAGTGAGAATAAGGCAATTATTTGATTTGTTATTTACCTCGTATTCTTTGAGAATTTTCATATTTTATTTCTTTCCAAAGTGATCATACCTATTTATATGCTCAAGAATTCCTATCAACTTCCCACTAAATTCTTTTAGGTGCTATGGGATTAGTTTGCTTTCTTATCTCAGCATTTAAATATGCTTACAGTGTATTTCTCTGTTTTTTTATGAACTATCATCATCACCATAGTCCCACTTCAAATAATGGGTCAGCATTTGCCATAAAGCTATTCAGAAGGAATTTGGTGGTGATTCCAACTTCTTTTTAAAGAACTCTATGCCATAAATGTAGCAAGGTGCTTCTGAGAATCTATGATTGTGGTGTTTCACTTTTAATGATGTTAATAAATTTTTCTGCAAGTTCTTAATTCCACTCACAGGTTTTGTGCTCTGCGTATTCCTGATATGTAACTTGTTCCCGACCCTTCAGGTAAATGCACTTAACAGCAAGATTCTCAGATGCTTTCCAAATAAAAACCAATATCTTCTTTCCCTCTCTTTTATGAGTTATAGAACACTTTCCCTCCCCTTCTTCTTTGATTTAATTTATATGCCAGGGATTTTTCAGCTCTGGGGATGAAAATGGAAGACCAGGGAAGAAAGTTGATGAAATAGAGATGATTCAAAGATCTGAAATATTTTATCCTCACTCGATATAAAGTAAGTTATTTTTTCTCTTTTCCAATAACCATCATTTCCCTTGATCTTGGAATCACTCAAAACCTAGCCACCGAGTCCTGTATAAACTAATGCTCTGTCTCAAGATGTGGGGAAAGATGAACTACTGGTACCTGCAGATTGTACCAGCTTGATTATATTTACAGTTATGAGATACCGCAAATTTAAGAATGCCAATTTTTTCTCATCACTGAGTATTTATTATATATAACAAATACATGGGAAAGAAAAAACTATATTGTGTGATATAAATAGTTTATTTACATTACAGAAAAAACATCAAGACAATGTATACTATTTCAAATATATCCATACATAATCAAATATAGCTGTAGTACATGTTTTCATTGGTGTAGATTACCACAAATGCAAGGCAACATGTGTAGATCTCTTGTCTTATTCTTTTGTCTATAATACTGTATTGTGTAGTCCCAGCTCTCAGAAGTCCGGCCACTGTGCAGCATGCTCCCTTTAGATTAACCTCGTGGATGCTCTTGTTGTGTTGTCTGAACTGTAGTGCCCTGTATTTTGCTTCTGTCTGTGAATTCTGTTGCTTCTGGGGCATTTCCTAGAAGGTTGGAAAGTTTACAAATCTTAGTCCAGTGCTGTTACCTGAAGTTTGGTCCTACAATTACAGAGTGAAGTTGTCGATTAAGCCAATTGTTAAAATATTTCAGACAAAAGAATTTATTATTAGTAGAAGCTGGGATTATTTTGGAAGATTTTTTTTTTTTTTTTTTGCGCTTCTCCTTGCCGTTGTCTTTAAGCGTCTGTTGGGGAGCGCTGAAGAGCAGAGGCAGAAGGTGAAGAGGAATACATTTACCTGGTCCTCAACCGCTTACTCAGGAAGGCAGAAGAATGACTCAGCACAAGGCAGTCAAGCAAGTTGTGAGCTCATCTAATCTCACTTTAAATGTCTTCAACAATTTTATATTTTAAATGTCCTCAGGATGAATGTTATATTGACATTTCACTGCTACAAGTTTAAATCCTATCCAACCAGAGAATGAGCCAACTCTTAATATCTGATATGTAATGAAAAGGGATATTGTTTTGGTTCAGCCTGATATTATTTTTATAAATTAGTACCATAAGCTGGAGACATAAATTGGTGCCAACTATTTTGCTTCTATAAAAGCTAAATTGAGTCAAATTATCTGAAAAGCTCTGGTCTGGCGTCTTTTCTCTTAAAATAAACAAATGCTTTGATGATGCAAATAAGAACAATATAAAGTTCATATAAAATCTTATTACAATAAGATGGCTTTCAGAGATTATATATTCATATATATGTTCATATATGAATAAATAAACATATATAATATATATATATTTTTTTACAGAGGTGTGGTAGATCAGTCAAAATGAACATGGAGCCGAAAGTCACATTCCCAGCAAGTGGGAGCTGGAGACAAAAAGATTGAAAATCCATCTTCTCAACAGGGCAACTCTTTTCATTCCAGAGCATGTCTCTAGATGTCTATATTTTTATGACACATGCTGTATTTAGAAGGAGGGCAGATGTTTGACTAAAATAATAAAAACAAGGGGAAGCAATTAGAAAAAAAAGAAATTGGGAGGAGGGGAAGAGAGAGAAAAGAAGAGATACCAGGGGATGGAGAAATTAAAAGAAAATTAAAGAGAATGAAAGGACCTCTGCTTGGTGCAATTTGTCAATCTTTTAGCAACGGCATATGTTGGAATAGGTCTTGACAGACAAGTGTGGTCAAGGTGGTCAGAAAAGGGGAGGGTTAGGGGAGGGGCAGATGACCTAGGTGGAAAATCTGGTTTTTGAGTAGAACATTCTCAAGTGAGTAGAATGAATCCACACTGGGAAGAGTGTGGCTTTTTGACTAGTGTGACTCCTGGAAAGACTTTGGAAGACTTGGACATCCTAAGACAGCTTTATAAAATGCATTACAAAAATGCTAATTTAGCTCATGTACTCTTCCTCAAAAGTAAATGGAGACTAGATGTTGTTTTGTTTTAACATGGAAAATGAAAATGGCCATATGCCTTGAAAAAATGTCTTCCTTCTAATTTGGAGCTCATTTTAGGTTGTCTTGAGCATCGGAACACACGACGTTATGACTAGCCGAGGGGCAGTATGAGCAGGGTGTAAGTGCACAGGATCTGACACTAGGCAGCCTGGACTCCACAGCTGCTCTTATTGCTCCGCTGTGTACACTTAGCAATTGGCTAACTTCTCATACCTCAGGATTCCTATTTTGAAAATGGGGATCACTGTTCCTTCTTCGTATGTTATCAAATGTATATGTGTGTGTACACACATGTATGATATACACACACACATAACATATACACAATGCTTGGTGAAATAAGAACCCTACATATTCCAGCTATTCTTATAACATATGGGAACAGAACTGTGATTAATAACAAACTTGAGAACATCTGCTAAAGTATTGAAAGTTTTGAATTTTTGTCAGTACATGAAGTACAAAGTACAAATCCAATTGTAATGAGATTAGATCTATTGAATGGGAATCTGGTTTTTCACGTGCTGACATGGCGTACATATCGGAAGACTCGAGACCCTTAGAGTAATATGGCACCGCTTCTTGTGTTTTAGATTCTTTTCTATCTTTCTTTTATACTCAGTATTTTTGGTTTCTTGAGTTATCTTTATGTTCCCCAGAATCTATTTTAGTATAATCCATTGAATCACTTGGCATCTAAACGTGAGAGTCTAGTTGATGAGCTCAGCTTGGCTTTGAGCAGCACAAAGCTCCAGTCGATGATCTTCCCTTAAGCTTTTAGGCCCGGCAAGGATTTATGAACCATATTTTGTCTTTTTCAAGAGCAAATGCCACACTTGTCCTCAAAGAAGATAGTGCAGCACAGCTACGGAGACGTATTATGGCCTTTATTCTCTAAGGATATGGTACTTTCTTTTATTTTCTTGTCTTTAGAAAAATAATTTTGGGGGAAACATTCTGATTTACTATAGAGCTGTACAAATGAACGAAAGTTTAAATGTCTTGTGAATTTGGCAAAAAACTTAAAAAACTTTCTTGGAACTTTTTCTCAAGGAGTGTGAAATCAGGTCAGAAAGAAGCGTCTTCAATAGTATTTCCGGTTAGACAGGGCATAAATAATATGGATTTGGTTGCCATGAATTTACACACTGATGAAGTTAAGCAAGTAAATACCTGGCCTTACCCCTTTACTCCAAGCACAGTGTCAGACATCACTAATTAACCATGATTTTCTCTCCTATTGAAACTGGATGAGGTCTCTGGATCCCTTTCAATCTTAGTCTCCAGAAACAATTACCATTTGATTGTTCTGGGGGTTTGGTATAAACGCTTGTTGTCATATTTGCTGCATGTTTCCATATATCAAAGGTTTTCATGTACTGCAACATAATCTTTTTTATTGTAGCTATTTTCTTTGAATTTTGTGATTAAAAGCTATTTTAACTTAACATAAAAATGTACCTGTTGTTTACATCAAATATGTTAAAAATGATTATATCAGCATTATAATTGGAAATAAGTACCATAAATGAAAGCTATCCTTGAACACTATTCTAGGCCTTGTGTACAATCTCTTCTCACCTCTTTTGGCATACTGATCTGGGTAAATAAGACAACACTGTCATCTAAATAGTCTGTTAGTAGTTTGAACGAAAACTGACTTTCCATAGCTAAAAGAGAAAAGCATATTTAAACAAAGATTGGCATCACATAGTAGAGAAAAACAGATCTTTGCCTCAAAAATAAATAATCCTCATCAAAAGGCAAAAATAAGGAAAATACTTGGTAGCACTCCAGCATGAAAATCGATGCTATTCACATGCTGTTATGATGAGGAAACAGGACTCCTGAGAACGGATGGCTGCCGAGTCCACAAAGGGACTCCTACGTAGAGTAACCTAAGTAAGGCAAGGAGGAACACCAGATTCCCTTATCTGGGTGGCCATTGAGCACATTACTGACCTTGTGATGCAGAGAACCACCACACAGATGACAGCAATTTGAATGGTCCCAATCACAGCTGCGATTAAGACATACTGAAATCGTACAGGGCCGGGAACAACGTACAGCACACTGTAGTCCTTTTTTTCACAGTGTTGTCCAGTATAACCAGCATCACACCTGGAAGGAAGGATAGTGTCCAGTTACCTGTAGCTGCTGGACTCATTTTTATAGTCGGCCCATACACAGTTATCTTCATTGTGAAATCGGGGCTGTTTATTTCCCTCTTTAAAGAAATGCTGCTTTGTAGATATGGCTTTCGACTGTATCCTTTCAATGAGATTTCTTTGTGTTTTTGGTTTCAAAGGTATAAGGTTTTCTTTTATACTTATAATAAGATTTTGAGGACAGGAGGGTTGGTACGTAGTTTGTGATGATGATATAGAGAAGCAGTGGCTGTCCAGAAATACTGTTTTTTCCATATTTTTTTTCAGATGAGTTTCACATTTTATTTAACTTGTCCTTTAATCGACCTAAATCGACATGATTACTTGAGAAAAGGTTTGTTTCTGAGGATATGGGTGTAAATTGGGGCTATTTATTTATTTACTTTTGGATAAAGCATTCCCTGGCTACTGTGAGAATAAATGTTGAAAAATGTTTAGACCAAGGATACAATAAGTGATTTCTTTAATTTGTTGATCCTAAAGTTGTCTACTTATGTTAGAGAGCTAAATTTCAGTAGAAAAAAAAAACCAATTATGGTGTAAGCAACAGAGTTCTGCAAAATAAACCCATGCGCTATTCATCTGAGAATGAACGCTGCTTCTCACTCACTCAAGCCTCATCAGAAAGCATCAGGAGACCATCTGCGTGTTAAAATTAGCATTTGACAATGAAATGAAGAAACTGTTCACATAACAATACCAACAAGGGTCAACTTGTCATTGGCTTTGTGCAATTATTTTAGTGCTTCACTTGGAATTTCTCCATTCTGGGGTCTTTCCTCTTTGCCTTGAAGGGTTTAATAATGGGGACCCTGCTAAGGATGACAGGGCAGCAGGACCAGCCTCTCAGTTATGTTGACTGTACCTGGCTTCACTGGAAGGTGCTAGTGTATTCAGTTAAGGAAGATATAAAAGGAAGACAGTTCTTGAGCGTAGAGAGAGAGAGAGAGAAGAAAGAGTGAGGAGGAGGAGGAGAAGAGAGAGAAACTCCTTTCGCTGTGTAACAATACACAACCTATTTCATCATATGCCACTTGTAGATTCCTTTAATAAAAATACATTTGTTTTTCCACCTTGGGTTTACCGTATTTTTACCATCTCAGTAATTATGTTCTATTCATGAATATTCAGCAGATATTTATATTTATTAACTAAGTCCAGACAAGCAATTTCTTTGTGTCTCAACTGAGTTAGAATCTGTGGAGGTACAGCTAATAATCGCACTGTACAAGGCTTGTGGGTAGCCGACCCACAGCAATGAGTAGGTGCCTAGCAAAACCAAGATTGATAAAATTGATTGGACACCTGAAGGACTTTGGAAAAGATGACCTCCCCAAAGCAACGACGTTATCTTATGTACCCTAAGTCCTCATCCATTCATTTCAGAAATATTTATTGACCTCCTGTTATGTGCCAAGAGCTATTCTATGTCCATGGGAAAGAGCAATGAATAAAACAGAGGAAGCTGAGTCTTTAAGAAGCTTGTAATGCCCAAAGTACAATTTGAAATTCTACCAGAAGAGTATACATAATGATATGTTACATAGTACTCAAGTATGTAAGGCACACACATTTCATGGTTTTCTAGTGGGTGTCTGTGTGTGTGTGTGTGTGTGTGTGTGTGTAGGAGAGTCAGTGAAAAGTTTTGCTGCTGATCACCCAGTCAGGCAGAATGCCATGCAATTCTTTGCAAATATCCAGAATTTAGTTCTCTGTGTTTACTTTATACATTTTAAAAATTAAAGAGTGAAAACATTACCTGCAAGATGGCTCCTGCATATTGATAGAATGTTCACACTTCCCATGCATGCAGAAACCATTGTAATGTTCTGGGCAAGGTATGTGGTGTTCTCTTGCACTTTCTTCTAACTTGTTAGCATTCTCTGTGAATACAGATAAAAACAGGCACCCCTTGTAAATAGTTTCTCAGCCCAGTAAGATCAACCAGTACATTAAGAAGCAAAGCTATGGTAGGCAAAGATATTTAAAAGGGCAAGAACTAAAAGGCCATGCTTCAGAAGAAAGAAGAAGAATTGAAAGACAGACATCTTCACAAGTGTGTTTAGAGATGAAACTGCAAAATTACCCAGTGCTTTTCATGCTTTTATGCAATTTTTTCCATCTTTAATAGGCAGTGATGTTTCTATAAGTAGTCAGACAGCTTTAATTTTCCTTGTGTAGAGACCGTACATTGATCATAAAATAATTCAAGAAGAACTATCTTATTTTTTGAATTTCAAAGCCCAGCATAATGTCCCTAAGAGTGAATGGCTGCAATACCTTGATACTTTCTCAGTGTGGTAGCTTAAAAGTTAAAATATAGCTGTGTTCAGTTGTTAAACAGATGTTTTCCAAAACTAAATGCAAATTGCAACAAACATATTCTTTCAGGCTTTTTTCATTTACTGTGAAGGGGAATTCTACTAGCACCCGTACATTTTCTTATTGCCAAAATAAAGCTATTGAAAGAGCAAACGTTATTTCAGAATCATTTATGGAGATACTAACACAGTACATATTGAATTCTCTAAGTGTATTCCAATGCATAATAGCTGGCCTATGTTAACAATGTGATGTGAAAGCTAAACTTACAATAAAGAAAAAATTTGTGTTCTAAAGTGAACCCTTTCCTCTGTCATTAACAAGTTTTGTTTTCTTATGTTTCTACAAAGATATTAAAATATGTTTTCTGACCTTCAGCTCAAATACATTTGCTTCATATTTGTAATGCTATCTCTAAATAGTCTTGATTATGGTCATCTTATAATATCAAGTTTGCTTTTCTTGAGTCTTTTCCATAATCCGTGACCTGACTTGACAAACTTTAAAATTCTTGCCTAAACACATGAAAAATATAATTGTCTTGACTTCAATCTGAGATGCTCTTCAATCCACAGCAAGAGAAGTAATGGAAGCAGCGGCAATAGAAGATTAAAAATGAACTACTATTTTTATGAAATAAATTATTTCCTATTATTTCACATACAGGCATAGCTTTTATTACAGTTCGTCCTTATAGTTTGGTACTGGCAGTCATGGATGATGCATATATTCATCAGGAGAAAAAATACCTTTAATATGGGTGAATCAGACAAATGCATTATTTATGTTTAAGCAGAGCTGTAAAATATCTATAATTTTAAGATCTAGTTCGTCATCTGCAGAACTTTTAAGTTTGAAGTATATTGTTAAATATGTTAAGTGTTTTCCTGTGTAGGAATATTTATGCACATTTGTATGATGGGTAATATTTCAAATCACAGCTCAAATTAATCAAGGATTTATCATAAGTATGCTAGAGAGACTGGAGATGGCATTTAAATCATTCATTTGTCCTATATTTGTGTCTCTTTACCTATTTAGGTGATATTTTGTTTGTATTATATTCCTACTTTGATGACTGTCGTTAAAATGAATGAACCACTTCCATGGAAAAGACTAAAAATATACAAAATTTTCTCTTTTGGTTTCCCCCATTCTTCCAAGGTACTTGAGAATTTTATGTCATGGTGTTTTTAGTAACAAATTACAGCTGTAATGAGCAAACACACAAAAACTGAAATAAATAATGTTGGGTGAATTTTTCAATATGGGAATATGTGACCAAAACAGAAGCAGGGCGAGGATGCTATTTTGATGCAGCTTGAGATGGCTTGTGGTCATTCCTGAATCTGTGGTGAAGACTAGGCTCATTTGTTGCCGCTGCCAGGAGGCTAGAAGCTAGAGTGGTCAAACCATGCACCTGCTGTTTAAAGGCGACTTTCACAGTGGGGTTTGCCAGCCCACTGCTGATGTAACGGACCAGCACTGATTTTCATTCTTATTCCTGGATCTTCTCCCCATAACAAGCAATTCAACACTTCTAGTTAGTGTTTGTTAGTAACCCTTCAGTGCTTCCTCACACCTGCATGCAGGAGAATTTTCTGTAACTTCCCTCTCCTTCAGTTATGCATTGTGATTTCAGGCATGGTATTTTTCAAACACATCTTATTAGGACTATTTTTCTTTTTGTCAGTTGCAAAAGAAGATCAAGAATTTTCTTAACTCAAAATCCATTTTTAGGCTATTTTATTTTTAACTCCATCCCTCGCCCCATACTGTTTTTGTTTTTGGATTTGTACCATATTCATAATTATGAACCGAAGTCCAAGGGCAAAGTAAGAGCTTGTCTGAGTGAGGCTGCGGCCTTAGTGTAGTAGGAACTAGATATTTCCACAAGGTTCATTATCCAGACAGGATGATCACGGGTGAGGAGAAGAGTTTCCATCATAAAATCTGCTAATTAGTTTACACCATTCCTTATGAGCTTGGAGTGCTCTGTTATGCTGCTCGTAGGATACTGTCAGATAAGAAAGTTAGAGAGATTGAAAATAAATGAATAGAAGAAATGATTCCTGAGCAAGAAAATGAGGAATCATCAATATATGTCAACAAATTTATAGTCAATCCAATCAAGTAAACCAGTTGATTGAAAACCTGAATATATAACCACTTCTAGTAATGCAATAGACATATTTTAGAAACGAGATTTGAGTATATTAAGAAGAATAGAGACGCAGAAAATCTAATATTCCAACCAAGTTTGTGTATGGACGACGGTATTTGTGACCCTGATGTTTATGCCTAGGTATTCAAGCAATCCTGAAGCACTTAAAGGATTTAAAATCAACTAAAAATGATACTTTGGAAGTCCATATGTTTCCTACAGTGGCTGATGATTTAGACATCCATTTCTCTGTCCTCCACTGAAAGAGGTTTAATGTAAGGGTTGTGCTCTTTCTGCTAAAAGAGATAGTGACAATGATAGAAACTCTCCATGTTTTTGTGTAAAGTCTTCAACTAGTTTCCTACTAAATGTTCACGAATGATTTATGCTGAAAGGGATCCTGACCCTTTTAAGAAACCATTTCTGGTATAATCTGAGTTAATTGCAGCAGAGCTAACAGGGTTGCATGCCCATTGCTAGTCAATGCTCTAGTCAAGAGCTATAGAAGTGGGTCGCTCTAAAGCACAGCTATATGTATTGTTTCTATCCTGGCGTGTTCAGGGAAAGAGATGGGGGAGGGAGGCAAGAGACAGAGGGAATGAAGACTGGCAAGGTTTTAACTTATCATAACTCAAGTAAGGGAAGTGGGTAGAAAAGGGGCAGAGCCGGGCATGGCGGTTCAGAGACTTAAGTCAATATAGCCCAGAGTGTGTGTATGTGTGTGTTTAGCATTATCCCTGCCTTTTTCTTCCCCAAAAGCTGTAAATAAGATGTTGTTCAGATAATTAATCTACCAAGCAACACATTATGGATTGAAGCAGAAATATGACAGTGTAAAACTTGCCTAAAACTATCCATGTATCCAAAGAAAGAATGTTTCCTGGGGCAAGGGTTAGAGCTTGGCGAAAGAAGCTTCTGAAAGTCATGTTCTCTATTCAAGTGCTCTCCAGGGTGGTGTTGCCCTGAGAAGCCAACCCGAACTTGCCAACCTAGAGTCCCAGGTGCAGAAATGGATGCACAAAACTATTAGCGTCTGATGCTGCTAACTATTCACTCAGTCAACCCATTTCCCTTGTTCTGATGGTCTGTTGTCTGAGCAGTCTTAAAATAATTTGATTTCTTTGTAGCCTACAGTATCACCTGGATTTCTTATCCATTTGACAGTTATATATTTCATATGAGTTGAATTGATTAGTTCTGACTTTCTGTGTATTTTTTTTTTTTTTTTTTTGGCATAAGTCAGCTTTCTCCAGCCCACTCAGTTCTGGCATTTTGTAAGATCAAACTTCTGCACTTACAAGCTAGAGGACCGGCTGGGCCTGGCCCATGGTGCACTGTAGTCTGGGAGGCCTTGTGGGGGCTGGTCAGATGATATTTCTCTGGAGATAGCACTACTTTGCTTTAATCAGGCCTTTCTTTGGAATATCTACAGATCCCTGTGCCACTGATTCGCTTCTGTGTAAGAATTTCAGAGTTAAGTTGGAAAGATCCTGAACTAGAGGTAACATGGAGGATTCAGTAGATGTTTTAGAGAGCCAGATTTCTACTGCATATTTTTAAGCAACTAAAGCTGTTCAGTAAGTGAGTGAGTAGTATACTGAAGTAGTGAGTTTCTGGTGGTAAAAAGAAGCCTTCTTACTACTGCTGAGATTCTGTAGAGTGTTACTGTGTAGGAGATTTGATTATTTCAGATCTCTATGTTCTTTGAACTCTAAAAGTAATATTTATTTCTACTGCTAATGTTTACTTAAAATAAATTACCAATAAATATATACTGATATTTATTGTACAATATTATTCTTGATATGCTGGGAAAAAGAATTAAACAAGTAGGAACATTATTTAGGTATAGTAAATAAAGGAAATCACTTTGGCTTAATTATGGGGACATTTTACTTTATCAAAGGGCATACGATATCTTAAATATTTACAATGTCTATAGTTCGGACATTCTAGCATAAAGTGAACTCTTTTATGCATTATCTTCCTTTGTGGGAACAATATGTTTGTGGATTAAATTCAATTTCTTTTTTTATTTTATTTTATTTTTTGTTTTGGGAACACATATATTTAGTAAAATTGCAAAGAAAAACAAGGAAATAGTAAACACAAAATTTACAGTAATGCTTAATTTTGAAGGCAAAAGAGAGGCAACGGGAGAGACTCGAGTTTTTGGGTTTTTTTGGGATTGAATACTTCTTTTTTTAAAATTTTATTTTATTATGTTATGTTAGTCACCATACAATACATCATTAGTTTTTGATGTAGTGTTCCATGACTCATTGTTTTCGTATAACACCCAGTGCTCCACGCAGTACGTGCCTCCTTTAATATCCCTTCACCAGGTTAACCCATCTCCCCTGCCCCCCTCCCCTCTAAAACCCTCAGTTTGTTTCT